CAGTCATCTTTGCCTGAAGGCTGTCTCTGCTACATTTTGAGCCTCTCCCTTTCATTTTTAGCTTTTGAAAGAATAAACAGTTCATCTGAATTTATTCTCATCTGCAAGTAAGAATAGCTTAAGTAACACGATCTATTAATGTTTTGGCCTTGTGCACAGGTTCAGTTTCTTAGACAAATCCCTTTGATCTGCTTGTAGCTGTCAAGTAAATGCAATAAATGAGCTGAAAGGTACAAGATGTCATTATGTTTGTGATAAATACGTCCATATATGTTGTACCAAGCCCACTTGAGGACAGTAAAGAAGTTACTGGGCTTGTTCAGTCTGGAGAAGAGAGATTTCAGGAAAACCTCACTGCAGCATTCCAGTACTTCAGTAGGAGTGGAAGTGACTTTTTACACAGTCTGATAGTGATAGGACAAGGGAGAATGTCTTTTAAAATAAAAGGGGAGATCTAGGTGAGATGTTAAGAAGAAATTCTTTACTCACAGGGTGGTAAGGCACTGGAACAGCTTGCCTGGAGCTGGTACCTGGTTGTAGGTGCCCCATCGCTGAAGACTTTCAAGGCCAGGTTGGATGGGGCCCAGGCAGTCTGACCTTGTGGTTGGCAACCAGTCCCCAGCGGGGGGCTTGAAACTTGATGGTCTTTAAGATGCTTTCCAACCTAGGCCATCCTGTTCCTGTGATATTCCTCACTACTTTGGTTGATCTTTTCCAATAAAGCATCTTTCTAACTGCAGCTGCAAAATTAATCCTTGTTGGATAGAAGTGATGAAGAAGGGCTGCAGGACTTATAATATAACACAATAATCCTTTGTCCACAAAGGGTATATTATAGCAATGCTGACCCCTGTTAAACCCTAAGAAAATTTTATTTTCACTGTGCTTGGCAAACAGCTGAAGTTGCAACTAGCACCTTTGATTATTGACACAGAACAAGTAGCCTGGCTTTCCTTTGAATGTCTTTACGAAGCTTTGTAGGAAAGTCTGTGTGTTCTGTCGGGAGACAGCAAACCTTATCTGGTTCTGAAGTTCTTGTCTGAGACGTGTTTGTGTCTGCAAGACTGTATCTATTACAAGCTGGCCATTCTTCAAGGCTTGCTTTCCAAACTGCGGCCTGTTAGCACATCTCTGGTATATTACTTTTGTTCAGCATTTCTCATTCAAACAAGTTTGGAAGGGAACTGGGAAAAAAATATACGTTTTAGAATTCTTTTTTCTATGAAAGGATCCCGCTGAGTTAATAGGGCACAACTTATTTTCACAGGCAGTCTGCATTTTCCAGGTGCTGCAGAAGATTAGCTTCGAACAGGAAAACTGTTGAAAGTCCAAAAGCTTTGTGCCATACAAGCAGCTCAACAAAGGTGTCTGTCAGAAAGCATTTATGTCACAGAAACCATTCAAATCGGAAGAGATGAAGTTCCTCTGACTTTTGATATACATTACTGATAATACAACTCTGAATTCTTCATTACAGTGAAACTTTGTCTATTTGCTATGATTAATGTATTCCTTTCATTTTTCCTTTTATGTGATTTAATCTTACAGTACTCACATCTTGTTATTTGTGCATATTTTAAAAACAAACATTTTTACAAGAAGTTTACGTATACTGCTTATAACTACGGTTTATTTATTGATGGATTTTAGAGACTTTTTTTTTCTCTTAGCAGTTATTTTATATCAGCTTAGTAATAGTACCAAGTGCACTATGTTCAATGTAAAAAATGTTTATTTTCCAATCAACAAGGTGCTGTTTCAAAGTTTACATTCTTTGCTCTAATGCTTGCAAACATCATTTATTTAAATGCAACTGTTGTTAACAGTAGTAGTAAGGATAATATTGTTTCTGTGATGCTCTTGATCTTTTGTTTGTTTTGCATGGGTTGCTGAGTCTTGTGATCTTTTTACAAAGTATTTATGAATCCTGACTTAGACTTGAATATGTAAGGAGCACTTTAATTTACTTTTGACCTGATAAATGCTGTTTTTAGGTCATGCCATGATCTTTCCTTCTCTGGAAGGTCAACTAAAATAAGACTCCTTCTGACATTTTGAAGATAATTATTAGGAAATTAGCCACTATACAGAGCTACAAATACCAGAAGTACAAGGACAAATTCTTGTGTAGTGTTTAATTATGTGAAAGGTCAATGTGAAGGGGGTGTAAGTAAGCAAGACTGTGGTGGCTGGGAGGAGCATACCCTATCACTGCTTTCAGTAGGACGCGCATATGAGGACATTTCCTCTCTCTTGAGATGTTTTGAACCCAGTTATTGCCTAGGCACATGCCTTCTGTTCTCAACTGAAGGAGACAATCGTGGATATTCAGCATCAGCCTGGATACTTTCCTGTGCAACCTGCTGTAGGGAGCATGCATTAGCAAGGGAAGCTTGTACTTGATGATCCCCTGAAGTCCCATCCGACCCCTCTTTGGAGAGGCAACCAGGGAAAGGAACAGGGAATAATTTGTGGGTGGGGAAAAGGGAGTATGAGTGGTAAGTAATAATGTGTTTAGGAGTAACAAAACATCTTACTATACTTGTGAGCGTAAGGGAATACTAAACCCCAGGGCATATGTTCTTTTTCACAAGCTTTTTGTAGTAAGTGTGGTTGTTGACTCGGGCTGCTTTGATCTGCCAGTAGTATTGCCTTGTCAGAATAAGCAGGCTGTCCAGCCTCATACTTGCAGGATTTGCAGGCTTTGAGAATAAAGGCGCTCCTGTAACTGTGGGGAGCACCTTAGTTTGACAGTTCTATCCTCATAAAATGTTTAACAATATAAAATTGCTTATTTGGGTTTTTCATTCAAAAGATTGAGCTCCAGCTAAATCATATCATTTCATTCTAATGTATGTAGGCCGAAAGTAAAAGCCAGTGCCTTGTGGTCAGGCAGAGCCAGTCCAAGAACAAAACAACTCGGAAACAATTTATTTTTTCCTTATAAACTTTAGTGCTGTGACCCTTTCATGCAAAGTGTGAACTGATTTAGCAAGTGTCAACTCAGTGCCCCTGTGGTGAAGACTGTTAAGTGATGGGGAAGAATTAGAAAGGGGGATAATTGCCATATGGAAACATAAGACTTTTTGAGAACAAATCTCAGAATCAGCAAGGCAAAACTTCATGGCTTTAACCCTAATTTAGCTGTGAATTAGAACACTATTAAATTCATTATATCTTCAGTAAGACATTGTGAGCTGTATCTTCTGATCTTATTTACCAAAGCATAATCAAAGCTGAAAATATTATGCTCTTACTAAAACCAAGTGGAATTAGTCTGGGAATCTTTGTCAGCAAAGCTGTTACCTTATTAGGAAAAATAAACTTCCTATTGATACAACAGTCTCACTTGATGGCAGTGATGACTATGTTGTCATCATAGAATTGTAGAAATTAAACATCGTAAAGAAAAATTTCTGTAAATGCTCTCATCTGTGTTCAGGCATTTAGATTACAGGCAGCATAATTTGTTTTTCTTTCATGTGGAAGCTTTAGTCTTCCATAAAAGGGTGTGTTTATATGTTGCATCTACTTGTCATGTCTTATTTTAAAGCATTAACATTCTTCAGACCTTGCTATTTGTAATGGCATTTTCCTCTAAGTTTTCTGAGGTGAGAAAATGATGAGGGAAGGGCTTTAACATATTGCTTATTGCTGATTCTTGTGTGCATTTCTGAAACAGTGCTATGTGCTATGAAAGGACAGTGCACTGTGACAGTTCTGCAGAAAGAAATAGCACTTTCGACACATGGAGTGGGCCCTTCATTTGTTAGTTTTGTGCAGATCAGGTCTTGTGGAAAAGGTAAGTGAGGCAAAGTACAATCCAATGTCCTCATGCAACAGTGAGCAACAAATACTCTGTTAAGAGTTAGGTGTTACCATGCATAATGTTTATCTCTCAACCTGCCAATCAAAGTAACTTCCGTTAGTCATCATATCTAAGTGCTAAAAGTGAAATGCATTTTTCCAAAATGAGACTGTACATTTGGAAAGGAAACCAGAGCTGCAAATGTCATGAGCACTGTAACATCTGTGGCAAGATTGCAGTTTACCTCTCCTCATTACTGAAATTCCAGCACTCTTAACTGTTGAGATGTATAATGATAAAATCATAGAATGGCTTAGGTTGGAAGGGACCTTAAAACCACCTATTTCAACCCCCTTGCCATGAGTAGTGTTATCATCCAACTACATGTGCTGCCTGGAGCATCCGTCCAACCTGGCTTTGAATGCTTCCAGGGATGGGGTGTCCACAACTTCTCTGGGCAGCCTATTCCAGAGCTTGACCATCCTCTGAGTAAAACATTTATTCCTATGATCTAAGCTAAATCTCCTCTCTTTTAGGACAAGCCATTGTCCCTTGTCCTGTCACTATCAGATCACGTAAAAAGTCTGTCCCCCTCCTGCTTGTAAGCTCCCTTCAAGGACTGGAATGCCACAATTAGGTCTCACTGAAACCTCTTCTTCAGGCTAAACAAGCACAGCTCCCTCAATTGTCATAAGAGAGGTGCTCCAGTTCTGTGGTCTTCATGGCTCTTCTCTGTACATGCTCCAACAGCTCCATATCTTTCTTGTGCTGGGGCCTCAGCCTGGATGCACTACTCCAGATGGGGCCTTAAAATGGCAGAGTGGAGGGGAACAGTTACTTTTCCTCGCTCTTCCTGAGTGCTACATCATCCATATATCCAGTTTCTTCTACTGGTCTGTTGCTCTTTTTCTGCCTGGAAAGTCTCCAGGCAGAAAAATTCTGCCAGTCTCCAGTCAAGAAGAACCAGGAGAACACTACTTGTGCTTCTGAACACTTCAACATCTTTCTAATGAATATAAAGTCCTGATGTAATACTGACAAGTTAATAGATGCAGACTTTTCAGGACATCAGTGTAAAGGATGTCATAATTTTGTTTTTCATTTTGTTCAATAGTGACAATATGGCAAAGTGGCATTTGGCATTGGTATGAATCCTGCAATACACATTGCTTTTTTTTTTTTCCCCCTGCAGTTCTGATGTAGAAAATGGAACCAGTGAAAGAAGAAAGCCAGGAAAATCACCTCCTGTTTTGCTGCAAACTCCTACCAGTGAAGTGGAACATTTTGATGATGGAAAGAAAGTTGATTTTGCTAGGTAATGGTCAGGAATATTGTCAGGTTTCTGCTAATTAAAAAATCAGAAGGGGAAGCTGAGCTGAGAAATGAGATTTATCAGATACCCCATTTGTGGGTTAGCTTGCACCCTAAGCAGGTAAGCAGGGAGCCTACATCCTGAGGCTGCCATGGCAGCAGCAGTCAGAAGAGTGGTAGTATGAACTCTTGGGTTGGATTAGCTTTCCTCTTGTAGGGAAGAATGCACTGCACTGTAACCACTGCTGGTTACGTCCTGTTCACAGCCAGGTTGACGCAGTCTAACTGAGCTGCAGTTTGAGTCCTGGGTTATTGTAGAATATTTTCTTGCTAGTGTGCTTATCCACTATAAAGCTATAACAAAAGAATATTTTTGGACTCTGCACTTTATATTGTATCAGATGACTGCAGTCTCTCTTAAAGAAACTGAAGTAATAATTTTTTTTTTTTTTTTTTAAAAGAAAACAACTTCTGAAGGGCAAATTTTGCATTCCTTTCACTTTCAACTGGGCAGCTAATGCAGAAGTCAGTGGTCAACCTGACAGAGTGGTTGTGGTCACAGGGCAGGTAGTTACAAAGCAGCACTTAAATTTTTGAAGCATCTTTGAGAGAAATACATGATAACTTTTTATGTAAAACTTCTTTTCAGTTTAATCCCTCTCATACAGTTTGACTCTATGCTATATGGAAGGATTGGCATAAGGCAAAGCTAGCTGTTCGGTTTGACTGGTACATTGCACAGAAACGTGAATATGCCTACAGATGTATATTGGAGGCTTCTTCTGTGAGGGACCACCTGAGAAAAACACAGCCAGTCCCCCAGCTGTATAATCTCTTTCCTAAATTTATTTATACCCCTAATTTAAGGTTCCTCTCACTCTTAGCCCTGAAATAAGCAGAATTTATTTTCCTATCATCCTCAGAGATTTTCCTCTGTGCTCTTTCTACTTCTGAGCTGTTTGGCTTTTTTATGTTGTTGTTGCTTTTTCTTTCAGTATGAATTGCTAAGGGTGTACAGGTACAACAGCTTCCTATAAAAAGAGCATTCATAGTCCTTTTTGATTTATTGGAAACTTCACTTCCAGAATTGCTGGTTGTCTTACTGATTTCCATACACTGGTGTTTGCAGCCATTTTCTGAGTGTACATTCTTGTTTTCTCTGTTGCACTTTCCAAACAACCTCCCTTCTTCTAGTATAAGTTCATAGCTTCGACTGCACTAGCTTGAACTCTCTGCTACTAAGGTTTGACTTTTATTACATTACCAAGTGAATTGCTTAATGTTTCTTATGTTGCTTGGAAACAAACATGGAGCAAGGCACAATGATGATCCATTAAACCTATAAAAATGCTTTGAACATTTTTTTTCCTTATAACTAGTGGTCTAAAATATTCCTTCTAAGTTAAAAATAGACCTCTTGGAGGACTGACCTAATTCAAGATTAAGACAGACTCCTATACATTGCTATGTACTACTTCAAAAATCAGGTTGTAGCAGTTGAAAGATTAATGTGTCTCACAGAAAAAAAAAAGTCCTGTTGATAACTTAAAAGGCAAATTAAATGAGGTCAATAATCTTACATGGCATGCTTTTTTTTTAATTATTATTTTCAGGACAAAGAGCAGTACAGAAAGTCCCCTCCTGACAGTGGAAAGCAAGAATGATTCCAAAATTGAAAGGAAAAAACATATCTCAAATCAGGTAGGGAGAAGATGGACTTTTTTTGTTGATGACTGGGAAGAGCAAATACAGAACTGGAAGAGCATCCTTGTTTACTAGTATTCTATTTCCTGGTTATGTAAGGATGTAGGTCCCTTTTTTCATCTTAGATCAGAACACCTTAATAGGCATATAGCAAAAATGATGATGTGCTGTAAAACAAATAGGCAGAAGGAGAAGAAAATGGGAGTATAGGAAGTGATGTGAGTCACTTAATTGTAAGAATATCTAATAAGGCATGTGTCTTTCGTGGTGGGCCTTTTTGTTTTTTAGCTGAAGGCAAATGCACACTTTCATAAGCTGTTTCTGGATGTTTCCATTGATGAGCCACTGAAACAAAGTGAGTATTAAGACCCTTATATTGCTGGCTGTGGATCAAAATACTGTTAATATCTGCCAACTCTGGTGGCATAAAAAAAGCACTACCCCAATTTTAAAAAACTTTAACTCCAGCTGCCTGGAGCTGCAAGGCTTCATTTGCTTGAAGGGGTGTTTCTGTTACAGTCTTGTAAAATGTATATTTCTTTGTTCTTCGTGTGTTTAGCATCTTTTGGTGTTGTAGCTCACTTTGTACTTCTTAACAGAGTAACCTTGAGCAATGTTTTGAAAACTGGTCTAAAGCTTTGTAGGAATCTAGGTGGCACTCTGTCGAAAAAGTGTCTTGGCATCTAAGACCCTCTTGCATATTACACATTTCAATCTTTATTCTTCATCTGTTTTGAATTAAAGTAAAGCTTGTGAAATCTTCTGAGCTTTTCTATACTTGTGAAACTTTTTCAGTGTATCAAGGTTTAGAGTGACAGAATCGTTTGAGTTGAGAGAGGCCTTTAAAGATTGCCTAGTTCAAATCCCCTGCAATGATCAGGGATGGTTTGACATTGTTTGTTAAAAGGTATATACCCAAACAGGTAATGGGTAAAAAAATAAATAAATAAAAAAAAGAGCAAAAAAAATGCCAGTGTGTGTTGTGTGTACACTAAAAGTTACAGAATATCTTTATACTTTAGGTTTTACCTGTGCTCTCCAGAAAGAAATTCTTTATCAAGGAAAGCTGTTCCTTTCTGAAAACTGGATTTGTTTCCATTCCAAGGTTTTTGGTAAAGACACTAAGGTTAGTACTAAATCATAGTACAGTTCCTTAGAAATCTTGTCATCACTTGAAATTTGCTTTATTATGCAAGGCTAGAAAACTTCTAATACCTTCAAGTGTTACTGAAAAGAATGACTATGCCCAAAAGTCTCTCTAAAGCAGGAGTACTATTACTATTAGAGAACCAGTCATCGCTTTAAGGATTTCCTGTCTGAAAAAATACGTAAGAAAATAACTTGACATGGAATTACAAAGGCTGCCAAACTCACACAGCTGTAATTGTATGAAACTGGCTCTTTTGAGTTAACTTTGGAAAAGAGAAGGAGGAGGCAGGGTGCAAAGTATAAGGGCTAGTTGGGGAAATGGTGGGAAGGATCAAGCACGCTCATTAACAGTTAAATAAAAAAAAAAAACAACACCAAAACTGACTCCAGAGTGAACTTGCAAAGGCCTGAGGGGATTCTTCTACCTCTTCCTTCTGTTCTACATGAACAGAGAAAGTCTAGTAGGCTTTCACTTGTGAGCCTAGTGTAAAGAACAGAACAGACTTGAACAGCTGGGACGATCCTAATTACTCTTTTCTCAGTACAGATATGACCTGCATAACGTTTTATCCCCCTTTGAGGAACATTATGCATATAGTTAAAATTGCACTGCACCCAAAAATATGCATGTTCTTTTTTGTTGATTTGGAAGTTTTGGGGTCTTTGTCGAAATAAACTCTTCTCTGTCTTTGATCTTTTATTGGAAAGAAGCATGATTTGCAGTAAGGATTTTTTTGGCTTCTTTCTTTCACAAGTACTTCATTGAATTACTTGCTTTTTACATCAAGACCCTTTCTCAGTGGTGCTGACACCAGTTTAGGGAGTTCACAATACATTCTTTCTGTTCTGTCAGCTTTTGTGCTGGAACACAGTATATCTTTGACAGGGACTTTAAGAAGGTAGAATATGTTTCTTAAAAATGATTAAAATTATTAATGACACATTACTGAGACTGGCTCTATAACTTATTACATATTATTGCTTGGGTCAAGAAACTGGACTATTGTTTCCTAGTTGATGCATTATATTAATTAAGTGTAAGTAATATATTAATATGTATGATGTTGGTGTGCATGTCACTGAAAGCCAGACAAAGAAATCAAAATTAATGAAGGATTGGATGCCATCATTTAAGTTCATAGCATCTATCTTGTCAGGTAATTTCATTAAAATTGAAGTTGCTGCCTGTGTCCTGCATAGCACAAATGAATGTGCCTTGACCTACTCCAAACTGTGGGGCAGCTTTCTAAAATTCAAGCTTAGCTTGAATTTTACATGATTAATACATGATTAAAATCTAATAAAATACCTGCCAAGTTGAAGAGAAAGACGTGGAATAAAAGCTGCTAAATGATAATCATTTAGAACTGGCAAATGATATTAGTAAAATGTCAGCAGTGTGAGTGTATGTATATATTCATATAAATGATGCAAAGGGAAACAGGAGATAAAGTAGATAAGTTTTCAGAATGTGTCTGTAGTGATATTCCAAGCAATCAGTCCTGAGTCCCTGTTTTAGAAAACATTGAGAGGGGAGAAAAACGAAAATGAGAATGAAAAAAGAGAGAGGCCTGGTCATGTAGTTCCAGTTGTCTTCCCTGCCTCCACAACACACACACTTGATTCAGTCACAAATAGCAGGCATAGATTTTTAGACATATCATCAACAAAACAACAGGGAAATTGGCAGTATAATGAAGAATCGTGTAGTAAGGGAGGAGGAAATCAGGCTTGACAGGAAGAACCGTTTTCATAGATGCCACATATATTGACAGAGTTACCAAGATGCAAAACCTCTATTGCTTGAAAGTTTAAACTTAGCCGTAACCCATCTGCTGAGAGAAGTAGCAGGTCTACATGTTCTATTACATTTATCAGGACAAGTTCTACCTACAGATTTTCTTCTTTTAAAATCTTTGGTGGTTGAAATAGTCATGAAAATAAGGAGATTTGAACCTGCAATGTAAACACTTTGTGTGTTCAGAAATAAAAGAATCCTTCTGCAGGATTTAACAGGCTTTGAAAGACTTTGCTGTCTTTCCAGGTTCTTCTATTTTGGCTGTATGTATTGACCACCAGTCTTCTCTGGAGCTAAGCATCATCCTAGTTGCTTTTCAAGATGCCTGCATGTAAACTTGTTTCCTGAAATAATTATTACTCCAGATAGAAATAAAATACTAGCAGTGATTTTCCCATTTTAATCTAATGCTTAAGTAAGAATGCAATAAGCAAGTACTTAATCCCACTTAAGTATTCTTTAGTCTTGATTACAGTAATGTTATCCATCAAAATTGCATGCAGCAGAATGCCATTAACATCTCTTATTTAAAGTGCCTTGAGGTGGACTGAACCAACTAGAAAACTTCTAGGCTGCGTTTTTTTTATCACTGCTATTTGCAGATTTTCTGCTGATAAATCTTTGGGAGTGGTAGGTTTCATTTATTTTCTCGGTGGTGGTGGTTGTTATGGTTGTTGTTGTTTTTTTCAGCAACGCAAACTGTATTCTGACCACATGACAATTCTGTTCTGTCTTCCTGTCAAACAAGCATCATATCCACTCCCTTCTTTCCACTCAAGAAACAGCCTTTTTTGAACAGAAGTGTTGCAGAATCTTTTTGGATCAAGAAAACATTCAGTTCAGGAAAAGTATAATGGAGAATCTATTTAATTAGCCATAACTATTATATAATAACTATTTAATTAGTTTGCAAAAGACTTGGCATCTGAAGCCAACAAATAGAATTGGCGTGTTTAGATAAGATAAATAATTGATATAAAATAGAATTAGATAGAATAATCAGTGTCCAGATTAAAAACTGTGTTCAGACTTAGAGATTCTTAGACTCAGGCATAGGCCTAACAATAATATATAGTTACAGGCATTGGCTGTTGTTGTGGTTGTGCTTTTTTCTCTTTTCTTTTTTCTTTCTTCTTTTTCTTTCCTTTTTTTTTTTTTTTTTTTTTTTCTTCTTTTTAATAAAACTGAGTACTGAATGAATGAATGAACAAATGACTTTCTAGCCTGCAGATGACAGAGGAATATCTAGCCATGCTTAAGCAGTGGCTGGTTATCTTGCATCCAGATGAAGCACACTTCTTGTTAGTTCCAAAAAATATATATATTTTTAATGGCTTGGTGTTGCTTTGCACTTATTGCTCTGAACAAAAGTTAATGAAGGTTTATGAAATTGCACAGAGAAACCTTGTTCTCCTGCATTAATGTGTTTTTAATTCTGTGCTCTGATCGCTCAGTGCTCAATCTCTGGACACTTTTAATCTTAGTTTGAAATTTCTCAAACTATTGAGGCAGGTGTTCTCAACAGTAGCTGTAGCCTATCCATGTATATCTTGGATTATTTTATTTGCCTAACTTTTTAAGCCCAAAGCTTTTCAACTGCAAGTCAAACCAGCTATTCAGTCCTTCATAATACAAGATTTACAGAAAGAGCCCACGCATAACATTTTAACTGAAATACTCTGAAATATAGCACCACGCATATTACTGAAGGGGTTGGATAAAAACACTAAGCAGGAGGAAAATTTGGGAACTTTTCAGTGTAAAGGTAGCCAGTTTGGGTGGCACACAGGAATGGGTATAAATAAGTCAGAGGGCTTGTGGTTACTGGATCTTTCAGTGATACTCATGGACAAGCTGTTTACTCAGCTGTTAAGTGCAAATGAAAGGATCTGTAAGTGGTGAAAAGAGCTATTTTTTATTCTTCAATACCCTGTTGTCTGATTTGTTTTGTTCCTCAGCAAAACGCCTAGCTTTAAGACTACTTGCTTCTGGAGATCTACAGTGAACGAAGCTTCCAGTCTTTTAAGAGCATCTGATGAAAATAGAACTAAAAATAGTTAAGAAATAATATTAATCTGAAATCACACCTGTTCCATATGAATTGTTAGTAATCAAGGACATAGAGGAGAAATCCTTACGTGGAGAGCATTGAAAGTCTGGCTTATCACAGTTGGTAGGCTGGCTACTTGTGGAACAGCATGCAGGTTTGTATGCATGTACTGAGACTAATACTGCCATGGTCTTGTTGTAGATCAGCATACCTGTGCTCTCAGTGACACTTCTGAAGAAAACCAAGACTGCCCTTCTTGTGCCAAATGCTCTGATCATAGCAACAGTCACAGACAGAGTAAGTACATAGAGGACAATGCTATTGTACCCTGCCTGTTCTCCTTTTCATTTTTCAACATCTTTTGTCCTCTCTACTTACTAGCACTCATATCATGAGAGATTCTTGAAGGTGCCAGCTGGTCATTTAAGCAGGTAGAGAAATTGGTCACGTGTAGTCATTTAGATTTAGAATCCCACAGGGTCTGGTTTCTTACCAGATAATTTGAGCTACTTCTGCCTCCTCAAGTGTCAGACAAGGGCTATGTAGAACTTGATGAGAAAATAAGAAATGCAACCTCTTGTTGTCAGCTGTTGCCTGTAAGCTATCATTCCTTGTTCTCCAAGACTTCTGTGTAGTGACACCCCAGGAAGTGTGTGCAGGAAGTGTTCTCTGCCTTGCTGGCAGCTCTTCACAATGTTCAGGCATTTTTCTGGGGTCTCTCACCCGATCAGCGATACCTTAGATGCAGCAAAATGCAGTTTATCCCTACAATCTCAGTAGTAATTGCATCAATTAGTAGAAAATGTGATTATCCTAAGAAAAAAACAAAAACAAAACCATTTTCTCTGCAGAAATGTTTTTGAACTTGGGCATTTTTTTTTAAGAGTAGGAAATTATTTTTTTTTCCACTCAGAGTGTGGTGAACAGGTTGTCCAAGGAGGTTGTAGATACTCCATCCCTGGAGGCATTCAAGGCCAGGCTGGATGTGGTTCTGGGCAGCCTGGTCTGGTGATTGGTGACCCTGCACATAACAGGGGGGCTGAAACCAGATGATCATTGTGGTCCTTTTCAACCCAGACCATTCTAGGATTCTATGAAAACATAGCATGCAAAGTTTTTAAGACAAACAAACCAAGAAATTAAAATTATAGATCTGGACTATGCTGTTTTCTGCAGTAGAACATGGCAAATTTTATGTGCCTGTTCTGTGTTCCCTGCGATTAACCTCAGTTCTTAATCTCAGAAGGAGTGGAGGTTTTCCTTGCTACATGAAAGTTCTTGAAAATAGGTGGTTTTGCTGATTAGATAGCTGTCAGTTTAAGTAAGATGAAAGGAAACTTGTGCTGTGTGTCTTTTCTCAAATGATTTTGGAACTTTTGTTTTTCAGTATATGTTTGTCTCCTTACTCTCCAGAGATACAACCTACAAGCTATTAAAATCTATATGTAGACATCTTGAGGTAAGTACTAAAGGGAATGAAGAAATGCAGATTTATGTTTGTTATTACTGCTTTAGCACTTTTAACTGCTGGGCAATTGCTAGGAGTGTTTCTTGTTAAAGCTGCTGCCTTTTTTTTCAGGATACGAGTATGGGCAACAGTCCCAGTCCATCTTCTGTTGAAAATAGCTTCAGGGCTGATCGTCCTACAACTCTGTCCCTGGTAAATGGCTTCGATGTTTGTTCTTTAGTCGCTCTGCTCTGTTCATTGCAAATCCTTGTAATGTCTGAAGGAAGGAGAGCAAAGAAAATTATGACATCTGTTTGTAAAAATTCCATGAACTTTTTAACATTAAGAAGCAGTGATAGCATAGGTCTAGCTTGATTAATTAGATATATATTGTGTATGTCTTAGATATATTACAGGGTGTGTATGCCCTACATATTTCTCTTGCTGTCAGATATCACTGCTCTGTGTACTTACTTAACAGTCGCTGCTTCCTCTGACATTAGCTATTTTCAGAGTATTTCTTTTACAGTCCTTCCATTGTGAGCCAGTTCAGAAAGCTGAAAGAGCTGTGTCTCCACATGTGAAGACCGGATTCTGACTCTAGAAATGCCTGCTCTGGACTTGTTCATCTAGCAATCTTTCTTTTGCAGGCATACTTAATCTTCTCAGTTGAACTAAGGCAGGGAATGATGCTTAAATTCTGGTGGTTATAAGTGGTCTGCTTATTTTGCTAACCAGATTTCAACATCTTGTGTTATCAAAAATTACTTCTGTTCAGGCAGTTTTAAGTATGTAATTGTTAGTTCAGTTTCTACATGGAAGTCAGAGGAAATAAGGTTAATTAGACTTGCTATGACTGTTTTCCCACCAGGATTTCAATGAAGACTATTCTGATCTGGATGGAATAGTACAGGAGCAGAGACAGGAGATGGAGGAGTCCAGCAGCACAGGCTCACAGACACCGGAGCTGGAACGCTTCCAAGGTGAGTAGGATCATGGAGCTCCAAGAACATGGGAACAGATTAGTTCTAGGTTTTGCTTCTGTAATTCCTTCCGATGTAGAAGTGGATCTGTGTTCTCCACAGTCCTGCAGACTAGTTAGGTACAGTCTTCCTCCAGGTTGCGAGAGCTGAATTTCCCGTTATGTTGCGCTTTGTAATCCAGAATTAAATAATGACTTGATCACCATCAGGCTTGATTTATCACTACTGACTCCAATTGCATTCACCATCTGTTTCATATGCCTCTTATCAATTATACTGTCACAGATCTAGCTTAGCAAACATTCATGCTTCCTTTCTCTTCCTCTTTCTCTCTTTTTCTCTTTCTCTTTCCTTGACACTTTCCCCTTTCTTTTTCATTTTTAATTTAAAAAAACTATTATAAAATAGCTCAAGTTATAAAAAACTGTCTTCTAATCAGTGCGAATAAATATTATGTGCTGTGGTAGATTTTAGTAATCAAAACTATTTCATATGATTTTATGTTTCTGTTTTATGAACCTTAATTCTGTTCTTTGTGGTCATCAAGGCTCCTGAAGATATCATCCATTGTTCATTCTTACTTCAAGTTTTTCACCTTGTTAGCAAGAATGCTGTGTAGGTGTCACAGAATCACAGAATGGCCTGGGTTGAAAGGGATGTCAAGGATCATGAATCTCCAACCTCCCTGCCACCAGCAGGGAGGTGAGCTGGGCCACCAGCCTCCCCATTTAGTACTAGACCAGGCTGCCCAGGGCCCTATCATCTCTGTAGCATATTCAGTCCTTTTGAGAGATTGCTTTTTTGTCTGTTTAATCTTCAGTCTGGAAATTCAGTGATAATCTGTGGAACTTGAATGGGTTGCCTTCTCTTGAATAACCTGGAAGTATAAACGTACCATACACAATCCCTTTCAGTCCACATGCTTTTCTTCTCCTTTGTCATTATGTGCAGTTATTACATGGATTATTTTAAGTCCTGTAAAATAACACCTGCTTTCTATCTATGTTCAAAGTACGTCTCTTAAAACCCTTCTGTTACCATATTCCTTGGCTAACTTAAGCTACAAATGGTTTCCTTTGACCTCATATTTCAGCTCTATTAAAAATCTTGCTTTTGACAGACTATCGCGTTGTTGAGACACAGACTCACTTGAAAGTTTCGAAGGCTGAAACAAAGTCTGTCCGTTCTGATGCACGCAGTAAATGGGCACCTGAAGGAAAAGCCAGAAACTGCCTTCGAAATGGTAGGAAATTAAGGGCAGATCCTCAGCTGAAGTTAGTTGAGTCCAACTCACCTAGTTACGTCAGTTCATGTAATATGGAAGATTTCTTCCTGTTCATCTCTCTGTTCGTGTTATCTGTTGCATGCTTTAAAACACCATTGTGTCTTTGGTGTTTCCTGATCAAAACAACGTGTTCTTTCCCTAGCAGGTCGTTCTGAACCTTTCAGATTCTTTCACAAGGATAAGTTACAGAAGCTCTTATCTCTGAACCACATACTTATATTTTATGCAGTTCTGTAAGTAAACAATTGATATCAAGATTGTTGAGCAACTCTGTTCTTTTTATGTATTATCTCAGCTTTGCTTGAAAAAGAGGAAATTGATGAAAACTTTGGCCTTTATATCTTTTCAGAACTAGAAATGCCAGGATAGACCTATTTAACAGGCCTTTTACTTCTAAAAGCCAAGGATTTTTTGGTTCAGGAATTGTTGGAGAGTTTAAACTACTTGCACTTAGCAGAGCCATACTCAAGGTTCAGACTTTCAAAACTATCTGAATGCTACCAGTACCTGTACAGCATGTACAAATACTGATTTAAGTGTCTTTTAATGTTGCATTTGTGAGATGTCTCTGACATTCCCATGTCCATATAAACATAACTGATATATCTTACTTTTTTCTCTTACAGTGTCTGTGTTTTATTATTTTCTACCTTCTACATGAGATACAAAATCAATGTCCTGGAAGAACGTCTTATCTCCATTGCATCTTTTGATTCACATTTTAAGGAGTAAGATGAACTCTATAACTATTTCAATTAAAAATAAAAAATACTTCTCCAGTATCTCATGCTAATCCAGTCTTTTCAGAAACTCCTGTGTTACTGTTGTGCCCTCATGAAACTTAATGTAGTTCTTGTGTCTGCACAAGCCTCATCTCATGGTTTCCCTTTCAAGACTTTTAATGCAAGCAAATGGCATGATGTAGTATTGCTTTCAGGATGTTTCAGATAACTGTAAATAATGGTAGTGTAAACTGCTGAAATGAGCTTCTTTCCAGATAATGATTCTGTGAAAAAAGTTATGCCTTTAGTCTTAGTGTCATTTGATTAACCTGCCATGACAGAAGGTATTTTGTAATCTTTAGGCTAATACATCTGACTTACTTTTAGGGTGTTTTTAAGAGCCTTGAGCTGCCCAACTCCTCTTTAGAGACTGACATCATGTCTTGCAAAAATAAATAATAACAGCAACAACAACAACAAAATAGAAACTACAACTAGTTCTTCATGTCTTTGAAGAGAACTGGCAAAAAATGCATCATAAGAAAAGGTGTCTATGACTGCTCTCAGTATGGAGTAGAAGGCTAGAAAATAACTAAATCATATTTCCTGGTTGCACTTATGGAGTATTCAAACTATATAAAATTAGAAAACATGCCATTAGTTTGTGGCAAATCCAGTGAAGAAGAAGTGTAGGACTGCAGATCTTTTATTATAAGTCTCCTAGCAATTATTTAGTAGTTTCATTCTATAACTGTGGAAGAGCTTAAGTCATGGATATGATCTTCCCCTCCTTTTTTTCAGCCCCTCTGTTGCATGAACAGAAAATCTGCAAATTCAAAGGGAGATGCAGCAGTATGTCATATGGGCATCCTCAGAAAACTTAGGACAGAAGGGAGTTCAGCTGGATACTGAAAATACGATGACTTTATTTAGCATCAAATTTTGCATTAACTCTTCTCACCCTCTCACTACTTAATTTTTCTGAGCTTCTCTGAAAAGCGTGACTCAGTCATTTCTAAACCTCACTGCAAAGATTGCTGTGACATGGTGCAGTTAGCAATCCTGGCAGCTAAAGAAGCACCACCTGAAAAACAGGAGAAAACAAAATTCCAGACAGCTGTACCCAGGTGGAATGGAGCTTTCTGCAAAGTGTTTCAGACTTAGTCATATTGTCATTCTGAACAATGGCTGTGCTGCTTAGGATCCACAGAACACAGCTGAAAGCTGAGTTGCGTATATGACAAAGCTAGGTTCTTAAGAGGAAGGAAATAGTGATTTATCTTAAACAGGCTTGCATTTATATTTTATCAGTAGTATGGGAAGAAGCGTAAACTTACATAGTAGTAGGCAATATGGAAAGCCATTTTCCCACTTTTTGCATATTTTGACTAACAGGATCATCTGAAGCACTCTTACACAGAAAGGTCCTATTTTCTGTTGTTCTGATACTAAAGCAGGGGTACAGGATGGCCTAATGTGCACTCGTACTGTGCCAAGGGGCTGTGCTTTTTGGTTTTCTCCAAGTCACAAGACACAGAACTTATGCAGCTCTCCAGCTTATTTCTAGATGGAAAACTTCACAGCTATTTCTACTCTACATCTGGAGAGTGAAATAACGTAAGGAATGTAGTCAGAAGTACAGAAGTGACTTAGAGCTTTGTTTCTGTAAACAAGTACAGTTCACAATGCTGCCATTCAAATAATTCATATCTGAATGTGGCTTTCAGCTCTGCTTTCCATTTTCTCATTCCCATCACACAAATTTCTTCATTCTGTTTGACAGACATCCAGCGCACCAACGTTTGGAATCTCACTTGCAAGTTAATGCTGATGCCTTCTGCGATGAGTTAACCACTAATCTTATGAAATTGGAAAAGGTAACTTTGTATGATATGATGCACATGCCAGTAATGCTCATTAGGTTCTTCTTGAATTTCTTTGGTCGGTTTTTTTGAAGGTACCAAGGCACTCACAGATTTCATGCTACAAACTAGCATGTTTTACTAGAGGATGCACTGTTTTCTTGGGCTGTAAGTTAGCCAGTGTATAAGCATTGGTCTGTGTAGCTGCTATGCCTTGAGCTGAGGCTCAACACCAAAAATATTACTAGACCAATCAGGCCAGGGGTAATAATTATATTTGATTATCTTGATTTTTTTTTAATTCTGTCCATCAGAGTTAAGGATTCTAAAGTTAACAGGAAATTTCCTTAGCAGGAATTCCTTGTCTGGGGCCTTTGTTTGGGTTTTGGTTTTCTGGTTAAGAAAAGCTGTGCTGGCGTTCATATGGAGTCATCCTCTTCATACAAAATGGCTGGAATCCATCTCTCTTCTCTAACACAAATGCTGCTGCTGCACCAGCTGTCTAAGTCACTGTACCTGAGCTTTGCCTATACCTTTGCTCTTCACTATCCAACAATTGCAAGCCTAAATGCACTTGCTGGAATAGGAAATTTGTGCAGAACGTGAGCGGATGGGGAGAACTGATTTCCACTTTATGAACTGTGGTGAGTTTGCCTTGGCCTACAGTCAGACCTACCAGCTCAGCAGCTCTCTCACTCCTCAGCAGAACAGGGGAAGAAAATAGGATGAAAAGGACTGTGGATCAAGATAAATGCAAAGAAATTGCTTATCAGTTACTATTAGAAGCAAAACAGACTCAGCTTGGGAAAAATCAGTATATTTTCATTTGGTGATGAGAAACAAAGACAAATGTTAGAACAGCACCTTTCCTTGCCTTTCTCCCAGGCTCATCTTCTCTCCTGACTTTTCCTTTCCCGGCACCAGACTATTCTCTTGGGGTTCAGTGTAAGGATTATTGTCACTAAATATCAGTTTTCAATCTGCCACTGCTTCCTTTCATTTCTCTTCTGCTCCAGTTGCATTTTATCCTGCACTGATGTGGGCTCCTGCAAAGGCAGAAGTACTTCAGGAAACTTCCAACTGTTCTGGCATGCATGGCCTCTCCGTAGCCTCCATGGGACACCTTCACCCCTCCTCTTCTCCTGTCTCCTCCTTGGCCTTGATGTTCCCTATGCAGTTTCTGTTTTTCTCTTCTCTCTCCATCTGATGTTTTTGCTTTGTATTCAGTGCACCTTCCCAGATGCACCACTGCCATGGCTGCTGGGCTCTGCTTTATATGAGGTGGATCCATTGAAGCCTGCTGGAACAAGCTGTGCTTGGCACTGGGCAGCCCCAGCATCAGCTCACAGCCCACCCCACCACCGAATCTTTGACACCTCTACCTGCTACTAAGCAAATGGAACGGGTGTGTTGGGGAGATGTCAGAATCAACTGGCTAAGCATGGGGAAAATAAATAAATAAATAAATAAATTAGTGGAGTGAAAACAGAAGTTACTGACATTCCTGTGTGATTAAATCAGATGGGGTTTTTTGCCTGTTTCTAAAACTGGCTTTTTTGCCAAGGTTATTCAGTGAGTTTTTTTTTTCCCCTCAAAGTAGGTTTCTCAATTAGCATGAAGGTTATGTAATATTACTGTTACCCATGTGACACTGGATCAAGAGAGTCTCTTCCAAAAATATTTCCCTCCATACTTATCTCTGCATGCTCTTGATGATAACATATGAACACCAGAGAAGAAATCTTACCAGATGATTACTAAGTTACAATCTTTAGCCAAATTAGTCCATCTAAGAAGTTATTACCTTCCAGCTGTCTGGGACAAGTCTTCAAATGGCAAGATTGGAAGACCTCGCTTTGTTTCAGTGGGAAGCTTGCAAAACAACAGGACTAGGCAGGCACAGTCTCTTTCATTGTCTCTGCCAGGACATACAGTAAAAGGCAGCTGGATGTTGGAGCTGTTCTCAAGAAGTGACCCTTGGTCCTCAATTAGAGTCTTAAGTCATGTACTTCTCTCATTTAGCGTCTAGAGAATTGAACACTTGTCATTGCAAAACAGTCACAACTCTGTCAGCTGCTTCTCAAGTTAAATGAGAACTGCATGTAGCTGCCACAACCAGTAGTTAGAACGTTGTTTGACTGCTGCAAAATTGGCAGAAATCTATAAGTTATACGCTCAAGTTACTGCAGTTGTTTAACTGCTTTATACGTCTTAGTGAAAAGTGCTAGTAATTGACTTCAGCTGGCTTCAACAGCAAAACTAATGCAGAAGTTTCAGTGCAAACTGTCATCTCTTCCTCCCTTCTTGCGAGGCTGCAGCACTATAAACTGCTTCCCAGAAACTGTCTAGGTTAAAAATGGAAAATTACTCTTCAGTTAGTAAATGTTTAGCGCAGAAGTATTCTGCCCTGATTTTTCAAGTGACCTACTTCATACTTGGAGTCCAGAAATTCCCATGACCTAGCAGAATTGTGCTTTGGCTTTTAAATATTTTTAACATGCCATCAGAACACACTGTGTATTAAGACAAAGTGTTACAAGTGGCTGAAAAAAACTGTGGCCTGATTTTACTCATTTCTTTATTTTAACATAGCTTGTTAAATGGAAACACATGTGTAAGGGTCTAACAAAACTGTTTTTCACTGTTCTTGAAAAAGACATCCGGGACAGCAGTTCAGTGAGGAGGGTTTGAGAGGTGATGTTCCTGAGCAGGAATTACAGTATACAGTAGTATAATCAATACATGGGCATAGGGACACATATCTGCTTGTGGTTAGATGAGCTTATTTTGCTGCATACATCAGAAGCCTCTGTAGTTGAAGCTGTTCTAAAACTATTTGAATTACTGAAACCTAGGAGCTGTGACTTTTACGTCCAGAGCTTGTATTTTGTTTTGACTGAGTTACAAATTTTGGATTTATTGAAAATTTCTTTCTGGCTCTAGTTTCGTTCTCCTGTCTCCTATCTGATGAAGAAAAGAACCCATGGGAGGTTGCAGGAGACACCTGTAAGCGATATCGGCTTGGTTTCAGTTGCTCAGCTAAGCATTCTGCTGACTGATCATATCTGGATGCTTCTTTGACTCTTGTCATTTAATATGAATACTCTCACTTAGTACGAATACCACTGGTATAAATAGCAGTGACAGAATTAAGAAGCACACAGAGAATATATTGAAGAATGTCTTGATTTTCTTAAAAATGTAGTACAACACTTTCTGTTTCCCAATCATTTTTATCTCTTTTTCTAAGATACAGAATAACTTACAGAAACTGCTTGAAGATGGTGAATGAAATGTTTATGTTCTTGGACTGCTTCAGACTTCGTTCATCTTGCTTGACAAACAGATTCAAAGGAGCTCTGCTGGACGGAGTTCAAGCTTCTTTATTTTCAGTCCAAGCCAAGGTTAAACTGGTGATGCTCATGTCGCAACTCAGAAAGTCATGTTATTGTTTAACTGTGTTTGTCTGCATGTTTTGAAAATAAGGGTTTTTTTTTTTTCCTTCTTTATTGTGTGTGAAGTAATTAATGGATTTTACAGTTTGTTTGATTTTAGCTTTCCTTACACCAGTGCAAACCTGAAGCAACTCCTTTTACCTCAGCCTTCCTTTTCTGCCTCTCTTCATGTACTTGTAAGTAAGCATTTCAGACACGATTCATATGCTGACATGTTGCATGAATGAGCTGGTGTGTGTCTCACAGCTGTGGCTATGGATCAGGGCTGTGCTTTTTACTTTCTGTCCTATCATCCCAAACATTAAAACCAAACACCTTCGTGTTTGATTCTGTGCAGTACTGAATGTTTAATGTGTGCTTAAGCTCTCAGGTGCTGTAAAAAGTCTCGATTCCATGTTCTGTGGCACTGGATCACTGCTGAGCATGAAGTCCATTTCTACTGGGGATTCATTTTACGTCAAAGTCGAGCTTGAAATATGTGTGAACTTGCCAACTCACCATTAAATTGCTTGTGAATAGCATTATGGGTATGACATGTCTGTCTGGAAAACCAACTGTTTTTTCTATCTGCTCTGTCTCTGTCCTTTAAGTTAATTCATCAGTGTGAAGATCTCAGCTAGCTTTCCTTAGAGCTGCATAGAGCCTTGGTTAGCCAAGCAAGTACATTTCATATTCCAATTTATATAAGTCTAGTCCTGATATGGAACAGATATTTCCAAATAATAGAAACTGACAAATTACTGAAATTATTTTTATTGCCACGTTCTTAACTGAAAGAAAAGGTGGACATCTGCTTTATTATATCACAATATTTTTTCACCTTACCTAGTAGGATAACTGTTTTGGATTTTTTTTAGCTTTCTGATTCACAGAGCAGACTGGTTCATCTGAAAAAGCAAAATTTAGGATAATGACAACTTGTGTATGCAATATTACTGTTTATATATGCTCTGCATTTTATAACCATTTCTGTGAAATGCACCTTACTTTGTTTAAATAAACTTTTTTGAAACAAGCAACTCAGTACTATGATTTATGAGGAAGTTTTTCACTTGGAGGGTGGTGAGGCACTGGAACAGGTTGCCCAAGGAGGCTGTGGATGCCCCATCCCTGGAGGCATTCAAGGCCAGGCTGGATGTGGCTCTGGGCAGCCTGCTGTGGTGGTTGGTGTCCCTGCACATAGCAGGGAGGTTGAAACTGGGTGATCATTGTGGTTCTTTTCAACCCAGGCCATTCTATGATCCCATGATTCTGTGGTTCTATGATTTGGATCATCCTACTCCCATCCATCGATTTTAATCAAACATGATACTCAGGATCTTGAATAGGCTTATTCTACACGGTGCAAAGGAACTGCATCCTGCCTGTGTGTTTCCACTTGCTTATTAATACTCAGAGGAGAAAGGCAAAACAATGTGATCAAATTTCATCTTTTTGGCCTCCATTCAGCCATCTTTTCTCAGATGTTTCCTCCTTGAGGGATAAGGGATGTTGAGGCAGCTGAGAGATACATTCATGCTTTGTAAGATGGCTGCTTAGCACAAGTTTTCATCTAAGTGTGTTTGGCTAGAAATCTGTGAGATCGACTGTTCTCCCTATTACAATCCCTATCTTTCCTTTCTCAGCCAGCACAGGATTATTGGAAAACCTGTTTTTGCAAGAAAACTGTTGAAAAAGCTATTTTTTCTATCCTTCCATCCTTCCTTTTCCCTACTTTCCTCTTCTTCCACAGTTCCACTGTTTATGCAGTTTTGTGCTCTTTCCTCACGTTTTCACTTTTCTATTTACTTACCTTTTCTGTCTGTTTCAGTATAAAGGCTGTAGTTCTATTTGTGATGCTTTAAAACTGAGGTCACAAGTCACTTTTGTCAAAGGAGCATCTGGGTAGTTTAATTATATCCATCAGCTGGTCTGAATTAGTTTATTACTCCTTTAGATCAGCAAAGATGTGCTTTGCTATATAAAAACAAGAGAGAGTATTACATAAAGCAGACAGGCTAAACCTGTAGGCAGGCTTATCACCAGCCATAAGCAAACAGAATAACTGTAGAGGTGAAAGAGTAATCCAGGGTAGAGGGCGTCCTTTAGCCTGTATGACTGCATGCCAGGGGAGGTGAGTCTGGACAAAGGTGTGCAGCAGTTTCTCATAGGGGGGAAGAAGCAGCAGTTAGAGTTTTTGACTGTGGTCACTTCAGCTCACCAGGTCTTTATATGTGGTAGCCTTCCCTCAGCTCTTCGGTTTGTAACCTCACTCCTTATTTTTCTAGAGGTAGGATGAGGATGCCTCAAGGATTTCATGCTGGTCTGCAAATAGGATGTACTGGTTGTGCAGAAATAAGCAGGAAATGAGGTCGCTGGGGAAAGTCAGAAATCAATAAATATTCAGCACGGATTGTTAATGGCGATAATAAATAGGTCGATTTTTAAAAATCATCCTTTTTATCTTCCTTCCTACTTTCTTTTTTCTTGTTATTTCAATTATGAAATAATTCACAACTTAGAGGCAGAAAAAATGAGGACTAAGTCCCAGTAGCTGTGAGGCGTGTAGTTATAGGTAGTGCTGGGCTCTGTCAAGCTGCTAGGAAACTGGAGATGTGTGGAAAGCAACAAGGGTGCATTAGTAATATATTTCCTACTTGTAGTTGCTGTGCCAATTATTTTTCCCTACTAGTCCCAGCCCAACCTGCTTCAGTTCTTGTGAGTTCTTACTGTAAGGGGGGAAAAAAACATTGCTTTCTTTCTCAGAAATGGTGTTTGAAGAAAGTGCCAAAGCACTTCGGTGATTGTGGGTGGGAGAGCTAGACAAGACCTGACTTTTCCATGGTTCATTCTGGCAATATCCAGCAAATAAAAGCCCTTGCAGCATGGTTTTCTCCACTTTACGGGTATGGACTTGGACCAAATAACTGAGGAATGGAATATGTTATCAACATGGTCTTTTGGTATTTCTGAATTCATCTAACTGCAGACTACTGCCAAGAGGAAGAGTCTTTCCTTTCCTTTATTCCCTCTGCCATACTCCCAGCTATTGTTCATTTTCACAGAAAGGAATAGGAATGGGAAAGCGAAGTAGTGTGCGTTTGGAGAGGCTGGGTGGTTGAGGGGTTGTAGAATTCATTTTCTGCCACATTACTTGCCTGAACTGCTAGGACTGAGGGATATCACATGTATGCTACTGCTCATGTGAAGTTTGCTCTCCAAGGAAAACAAATGTTGCCCTTCTCAGTGGAACACCAACAGTAGCAGCTTGACTAACGTTTGCAAAGAGTACAGATGGTTTTGTGTGTGTGTGTGTTTGATGTTCATACCATCACTGCTTTCACCTGACTGTTTATGCAGTTATACAGTATTGTTCCCAGCTTTCTTTTACACCTGCTCTTTCATTTCCTGACTTTGTGCTGACAGTCAGCTGATCAACATTAAATACACCTCTGGGTTGATGCTTTACAGACCTTTTAAGGTGATGGCTCAGCTGATTCACCTGCAGCTGCCTGTGAGGTGCTATGCCCAAGGATACGTGAGGTTTTTCCTTTACAGAGCAGGTGTGATGTGCAGTAAACATAATGAAAAAGCTGGTTATTCATGCAGAACACTGAGCAAATAGTTTCTTTCATGTTCAGTGTGTGTGATTTTTGTGAGCAGTAGAGGAATAATATTGTTTGAAAAGATTTTGGCAGGATTTTTCAGTTTGCCTGGTGAGGCTGTCGGAGCCTGACATGCAGATTTGCTCAAGGAGAAAAATGGACTAATCTTTTTTGGCAAATCTCAATTTATGATTGTTTGTTTTGCTGTCTTAAGTTATAAATTTGATATGATCCCCTTTTATAATTATGACGTTTCACAGTAGCCTATGGCTAAGTGAACAACCACAACAAGGCATGTGCCAGTAAATTTCATTTAGATGTCTCTTAGATTATTCCATTAATCAGTGGCATTGTTGGATTTTGACTAAAAATCAAATGCATAAAATAAAGCAATGTACAGTATGTGCACTAACTCAGTAGCACCTAACAGGCTTTTAATCCCCAAGCTTCACAAAGTATTATGATGCTAATATGCCTATCATAACTATTCCCACCCAAAATATAGACTTTCAGGGATACGTACTTGGTTGCTATTTTGACTTTCTGCTTCTATTGACCCTCAAGTTTCTATTTAGAAGCATGGAATCATGCAATTGTTTAGGTTGGAAAGACCCTTAAGATGGATGGAATTCAAGGCACTTGTATGTTAGCAAAGCCTTCCCTAAACTGAATTGTCTGATACAAATCATAGAATAACATTTCAAATATCCACTGTTAAGGTGACATTTGCTTTGCAAAAATCACTTCAAATTTTGTGCCACAATGTGTAGATTTTTGTGCCAAAAAACTTCCATCCCCTGGAAGGGAAGCCAAAAACTTTTGCAACAGGGTAACTGTTCCCAAAGGAGTAACCAGAGGTTGGCTAGCTGCTTACTGAATAGGCATTGCAGTTAAAATA